GAAATCAAAATATATAAAGATAATAGGAAATCAAAAGCTAAATTTAGAATTTTGCTGCATGAATTCAGATAGTTCTTGGGAAATTTAAAACTACAGTTTGGACTCATCTCTCTGCTTCTCCACAGGACGCTGGAAGAGCGTGCCCAGAGACTTTTTAGCACTAAAGGCAAATCCCTAGAAGCACTTGATCCGTCCTTGTTTGCTAAGAATCCGAAGACAAAAGGAAGCAAAAGGTGAGTTCCTGAAGGTCACTCTGAGGTTGGAGTGTTCTCACTCGGATGAGAAGTATTCTGTAGGCATGGCTCTATACAGTCAGGATGGATTCTTAGAGCATTAGAAGCTTTTCAGCCTGGACTAAAATAGTCCTGAACCAGATGGAGGAGATCAGAGCTGAATGTGTCTGTGTGCGCCATCTAGTTTACAGGAGCTGTTTGGTATTTTTTTCTGTTTTCTTGCTGTATACAAGTCACGTTTCTCTTTAGGAGTTCAGTGTACACATGATGTTTGCAGTTCTGGAACAGACTTCATGAAATTTCTTTATCTATTTCCAGAGACACTGAAAGAAATAAAGATCTTGCGTTCCTGGAAGCTCAGATTTATGAGTATGTAGAAGTTCTTGGGGTAAGGATGAGCTTTTTATTTCAGAGTTGTCAGATAGTGACTGCGAGGTCGTCCACATCTTTACCCACTGCTTTCATAGTCAGTGTGACCAGAAGAGTTCCTGTCATGTCCTGAGTCGTAACGTTTTAAAGTTCATGTTAGCAGAAAGCTTGCTCTGTCAGCAAGTAGAATATGATGGATTACATTTGTATTTCCGTTAGCTCGTTATTTGGCAGGCTTCTGTGAACAGGGAGACCTTGTGCCTGCCTCAGTCCCAGATACAGAGGCTACATGTTCCCTTGTGGAAGCCTGTTTTTTTCTTCTAGGCACTACATCAGTGTAGATAATTTCTATTTTATGCCTAAATTGCAGACCTTTACTTGTTCTGCCTTGATGCTTGCCTTAAGTCCTTGCTTCGCTTCGGGGCGATTGCTTTTAGCAGGGTGGCTGTTGCTGTTAGCTTGTCACCTTGGAAGGGCTCATGGCAGTACAATTCTTTTTTCAATTCTTTGAGAGTAGGAAATGTTATACTAAAAGGTTAAGTTGTTGGGCTAAGTAAAATGAGTGTTCTCTGTTTCGTACTGGTTTTCCATTCCCCTCCCTCTGTTCACTGAGGGAGTGTTTCATGCTTGCTGCAAGAGTTTGCCCTTTTTTTGTTGCTGTCATGTTTTGGAACAATTCCTTCTCTTCTCACGCTCTAGGAGCAGAGACACCTCACTCACGAGAATGTGCAGCGTAAGCAAGCACGGACAGGAGAGGAGAGGGAGGAGGAGGAGGAAGAGCAGATCAGTGAGAGTGAGAGTGAGGATGAAGAAAATGAAATCATTTATAATCCTAAAAATCTGCCCCTTGGTTGGGATGGCAAGGTAACCGAGATTGCCCGGTCTGGAGAAGTGGGCGATGTCGCTGACTCCACACTATTCTGCTTGAACCTGCTTTGCCATTTGGCCTAATCCTTGTCTCTCTTCGCCTGGCAGCCAATCCCATACTGGTTATATAAATTACATGGTTTAAACATCAACTACAACTGTGAGATTTGTGGCAACTACACCTACCGAGGGCCCAAAGCTTTTCAGCGTCACTTTGCAGTAAGTTACATTTTTTGACAAAAACGTCGATGCCGTGTTCAGATAATCTTTATAATAACTAACTAGTAAATCACTGGCGTTCCCAAGTGGCACTTCTTCCACTTGTGACGTGTGGGCCTGGGCTGGTGCTGCGGGGCCGGGCCGTTGGATGTCGGACGTGCTGAGGGCTCTTCTGCCGGCTCCTGTACGGCCTCTGGTTTGGGCACAAATTCCAGTATCCAGGTCTGACTGGATCCAGGTCTGACTGGAGCAGAGTGCCCGTTGGCTGCCAGTGGTTTGTTACTGTCTAAAACACAGATAAAATATTTGTGCGGAGGTGTTTAGGACTGGTAGATTTGTACGTTGACATTTGTGCCATCGTGTCCGGGTGTCAGTACGTTTTTTTGGCGCGGGGGGGGCGTTCCCGGCTGACCTGACCTCGCCTCCCTCCCCAGGAGTGGCGACACGCTCATGGGATGAGGTGCCTGGGCATTCCCAACACAGCCCATTTTGCCAACGTCACGCAGATTGAGGACGCAGTCTCGTGTAAGTGGTGGCGGCGGAACGGGGAGCGGGTGGCGTGAGAACGCTTCGTTGGCTCTCGCCAAAAATACGTCTTGTCCTATGGCGAGATTTGGGAGGGAGGGTAAGAAACACGGTGCCTGCGGGACGATCCTTCCTCGGGCCATCCCTCCCAGCTCCTAGGAGGAGAATGGCTTTTTCCTTCGGCCGCCTGCAGGGGCAGATGGGTGCTGGGGTCTCTCCGCGATGTTCTGTGTGTGAAATCTCAGCCGAGGGCAGTGGGCCACCACTTCCTCAGGCAGAGTGTGGCTACATCATCCCACGTAACTCCTGCTTAATTGGTGTTTGTCAGCATCTTCACAGGGAAGCCAGAAAAACCTTCAGAAATGGTGGAGCCTGTAGGCAGATGTTGAAAGCCTACGGTACTTGGGACTCAGGGATTATAGATTAATGCAGCTAATGTGTGCTGGTGTTTTGAGGAGGCTGCCTCGTGCAGGGGTGGTTTCTTTGACCTGCCCTGCTTCGGTTAACAGATACAGGTTATGGTTCCTGGGGCTAAATTAGTTCTTGCCTAGAAGAAACCAAAGAGGTAAAGCCTTAATCTCCCAAACAAGGTATTATTTATTGGAGCTGAAGTAGTGGTTTTAGACCTTTGTCTTCTGTGTCCCATCCTGAAGGATCACTTTAAAGCTCCGTTTGCTTTAGTTCTGTGCCTTTTGGTAAATCGTGCAGAGGAATGATAAATTTGTAACGGATATTAGATACATTCCTGGACTGCTGAAGTGACAGTGTTTAAAAAAAAAAAAAAAAAAGTCCATGTGTATATTTTATTAGATTAAAAACTGGTATCTCCAGGGAAATGACATCGCATCCTGTATGACTTTGTACTTACAGTGTGGGCAAAGCTGAAACAACAGAAGGCCTCAGAGCGATGGCAGCCCGATACAGAGGTGAGATGTTGTGGAGGCCGTCGGGAGCCCCCCCTGACCTCGCACGAACTGTCTGGCTCTGTCAGAATTCCGAGTCCCTGCTTGCAGGAGAGACGGGCAGGAGCCTGTGCTGCTGGTCACACAGCTCCTGTTAGTGGCCGGGTGTGAAGAGCACTTGCCCTGCTCTGCTGGGAAGTCCTTCTGCTGGGACAGGCTCAGCCCTTTGTGTACAGATCCCTGACACGGCTTTGCAGTGCCCACGTCGTCTTTGTTCCGTGGGAGGAAGAAGGGACGGTTGTGAGCAGGGGGTTCACTGTCCTGGTGCCTTTTCGTGAATGTCTGTCTCAAACCATTTTTCAGCAGCGTGCAGGGCGACTGTGGGAAATCCGGCCTGTGGCGGAGCTTGTAACGATCCTGGCTCTGAGGGAGCTCTGCTCCCGGAGCCTGCTGGTGGGGGGACGCTCCTGTTCAGTGGGTGCTGCTGGGCTGGAGCTCCTGGTACAACCCGTGGGGCTGCGTCCGGGCGCCTCTGAACTGTTTGTTCCGTTCTAGGAGGAGTACGAGGATTCCAGTGGGAACGTGGTGAATAAAAAGACCTATGAAGACTTGAAACGTCAAGGCCTGCTGTAGCTTTTCCCAAGTGAAGGATTTCACATCTGAAAAGCAAGTGGAGAAGCATCAGCAGCTCTGGTTTCCTCAGTTTCTGGATTTTTCTATGTGCATGAGTATAGATTTCGAGGATACTTTATAGATTCACTTTCTAGTAAGCCCCTTGTGAAAAGCAGACTTGTGATGTTGTTTTATATCAAAAAAAACCCTTTGAAAAATAAACTGATTTTAATTTAGGAAGTGCTGAGAAACTTGTCTCCTTTCATATGCTGGAAGGAAGAGATTTGATTTATGATGTTTTTAGAACACTTTTATGCAGTTTGAATTGTCAGAAACAATCGTCTCTCCCTTAGTCCCATTCTGGTGGAAATTCGGAGGATGAGGATTGACTTTCTGTGACCGTGGTGCGCTGGCAGCGAGTAACGCTCTGTCCTGTATCTTGCTGTCAGCATTCAGTTTTCTTTGGGCTCCTTGACAAAACAGATTTGCTTGGCTTGCTTTGCTGCTTTTACCTCAGGCCTGTCTCCCTGTGGAGCTTTGGCCACTGGGATTTTTTCAGGGCATGAATGGAGCTCGGTTTAGGTTGGGCTGTGTGGGCGGCGTGTGGTCGTCCCTCCGGCGTTGTTGACTCGAGAGCTGCAGTGGATTCTGGTGCAGATCCCTGCGGTGACTTGTGAGCTGCGGCGCGGGACGGTTGTGGCAGGGACACTCCATGTGTTTAGATGTGGCCGCGGTGGCCCCAGGAGCGCCCTCGGAGCTCCTCAGGGCCGTGCTCGGAGCTGCCTGAACGCACCCCACGACGTTCTGCGGCCGCACGAGTCCGGGGAGGGGGAGAGGCACCGTGAGGAGGCCCCAGCAGCACCTGGGGGGGCTCTGGTTTGGCATCCAGCGGGCCCGTGTGACGCCTCTGGCCTCGGAAAGGCCCTTTCCCCTGGTCGCTCTGCGGGGCCGCGGGCGTCCCCAGCTGCGGAGGAGCAGCAGCAGGTAACAGCCGCTTCCCCGGGGTGCGCAGCCGGGGGTTGGCAGGGGAGGGGCTGGCGCTGGCTGCCAGCCTCTGCGCGGGACGGCGGCGGCTGCTGGCGCTCGGACCCGCTCCCGGCTGCGGCGGCTGCAGCCTTCGACGGGGTGAGGCCGTGCCCTGGGCTCTTCCCTTCCTGCGCCGGGGAAAGGTCCTCAGGGTGAGGCTGCGTCTGGT